TTTTTCAACAAAGGGCAATAACTTTGTAAAAAAAAAGGGTCAGAATGAAAAAAAGACAATAACTGAATGCACAACTTCAGGTGGTAGTTATCATATCTGGAAGCATTCGTTGAAATTGGTCCATTACTTTAGAAGGAGTTGTCCGGACAAACTTTTTCTAAGGACGGACAGACGGGCACGCTGATACCAGTATACCCCCCACCCCACCTTCTCCCTACTAACTTCGTTGCAGGGGATATAATAAAGTGTACAAGAGTTTTACTATTAAGATCATTTTATTGTTTTTACATAATTGCATATCTTTGTCTATAACACAATCTCAACTTTAAATACCTCTCCAGAAGAGATTACTTCGGCAGAAAACATATTAATGATTTATTACTGCTGCACATAACTTTAAAAAATGCGTAATATAATAAAGTGTTTTGGTATGATACCAAAACAGAACATGTATCGGTATTGACCATAATAAACATAATCAAATCTCCATGATTATGTGAAATTTGGCATTGATCATGTTTGGCATGCTAAAAAGTACTTTACCGGTTTCGATATGACATACAAATGATTCCTTTGACAGAACATATATATGGACACTTTTTAAACAAGTCTATCGTAGTAACTTTATATAGGCAATTGACAATGTTGGTTATATTTTGAATTTTGTGAAACTTTTGCATGTTTTTCTAACTAAAAGTATCACTACGCTTAAACTTCATGTAGACCAATATGACATATTTAGTATCAAAATGACAGCCGTTTCATACACTGTACACTATCATTATTCATTTCAAAATAACATTTGCCTGTGACATTTATCTGTCATTTTGTTAGGATACCTCCGTCACTCAACCTGGTGTTATCCAAGGAGGTCCACTACGGTTATCAGTAGTAATTATGAATAATCATTTATGCAGTTATTTATCATTTTTATGTATCTATATATGGTAGAGGAATAAAAGAAATCTAAGTGGGGGCCAAATGTTTACAACATGACCAACAGCGAAGGCTTACTATGTACGAGGCTGTAAGATAAGCAGGACGATTTCGACTTTCCTATCGTGAACATTCCTTTTCTTGATAATAGATCCATACTTTACCTACCTACGGTGTTTACATGACGCAAATGATTCGGTATTCCAGAGATTGCTCTGAATATCATGACATCAATGAAAGATGTCGACTTCTGACGGACAAACTTACAACATAGGGTTTCCAACCATACAGATTGATGAAAAATTACGGACAGGCGATCGTTTTCAGGATCTCGCAAGGAAACATACTATTTCTCTGTGTGATATGAAGGTCGAGGCTTTTTTAAAATTCTGTTAGTTAACTGGATTCAACATTGTTAACATGGCTAATGACGTTGGTGAATCAGAAGCTTACCGTTCCGGAGCACCTTGACCTATTCTCCTGATATATTTAAGAGTCTCCATTTGTTAATATTTAGCCCTAGTCTTATCGACAGACATTTTCTAGTAAAATTTACCAAAGTACATGTATTACAAGTTTAAACAAGTTTCTCAAGTTAGAGACGCCGGTTAAATCGGACACTAAACAAAACCCGACACCCAGACACCCCGACAACCCGACATCCCGANATTCCGTCTTTGCGTATTGCAGAGTTATCTTCTCTTGGGAGCAGGTATTGATTGTTACGTCATTGGTTTGTGTGAGAAAATTACGTCGTTTTCTCAAAAATTGATGACGTTACTCTCACAAACAAGTGACGTAACAATTAATACCTGCTCCCAAGAGAAGATAACTCTGCAATACGCAAAGACGGAATACCCAGCTTAACATGAAGACGACAGGAGTCTTTTACAATTTTGATAAGTACACAGATACTTACCTGCTTCCGGTTGTCGGGAAGCGTTCAGGACAAAGGCGTTAATTCGTATAGGAAGGGAGCAGGGGAATTCGCATGGTTTCCCGATTACTCGTCATCAGTGAAAACTAGGTTATCTGACAATTTTAAATTATTCAACAATTTTCAGTTTCGTTACAAGGATTTGATTTGTACCACAGTATATGAACAACAAGAAAATCAGTTTGGTGTATGAATGCCTTAATTTATGTAAACAGACGTTAGATCGTCCATCTAACACTGTTTACCTGTAAGAAAATCGTTTACTGATGCTTGTGGGTTGTGAGCACTATTTTATAACGAAAACAAGATTGGATAACAGGAAAAGCCGATGTAATTATCTCTAGGAATACCAATTAAGACCTTATTTCAAGTTAGCTTGCCTACTCATGCTTTTGACGAGCTACAAATATTTGATATTGTATTTTCTGAATATACTTTTGCTCATTCCTACACAGATATCGAAACCCGGATGTGAACTGGAGAATGACTTAGATGAACGAGGTAGTGGAGTCACCCGTGTACCAGAGTACATTTACATAGTTCTAAAAAGAGTCTATTTTTTATACTTGCTTAAAAGTTGGCTATCAATAATATCTCTCGACGTCCGAAATTTAAAGAAAATTGACAACCGGATACATTTGTCATATAACATTTTTGATTCAAAAATAGAAAAACATAGAATTTCTTTCCAATTTTCCTTTAACTTGTGTTTCTTCATGATCAAAGGTCCATGGGTCATGATATTTGACAAGAAAGTTGTTCATGTGGCTGGATTTAAGTTGTGTTAACGTTGATGACCTTGACCTTCGTTCAAAATCAAATGTGCTAAAATATAGTTTTTGCATGGGGAGTCAGACAAGGCTATCTTACCTTGCTTTATTTGTTTAGAGTTAACGATATAAAATACTGTAATTCCTTCAATTTTGTTAAATGAATAGGCAATCGACATAATAAAATAATAACTATAAATGTAGGCCAACGGCTAACTAATAACCCGGCTCCTATATAAACCAGAACTGTAAGCTAAAGGCTAACTAAGGCAAAGCATTGCAAAGCAATCCATAGTCTCCCACCAGCAACTATTTAAGTATATAGGTCACTGACATACTTCCCGTACTCCCTTGCCATGCCCAAACATACTTTCATTCCAAATCGTTTTAGCCCAGATGAACCAATTTTGATGAAATCGTTCTAGTTATTAAGGAAGAATTGTCAAGACAAATATTTTTAACAAAGGTCCAGGACTCCTTGAGAAGGGTCAAAATGAAAAAAAATACTACCCTCATGCACGACATCGGGAGGTAATTACCATATCTGTAAACTTTAATTGAAATCGACCCAGTAGAATATGAGGCAGACAAAGGTTTTTTATTCAACAAAGGACCGCAACTACTGTTAAACGGGTCGGTATGAAAACATACTACTTGGATGCACAATATCAGGGGGTAATTGCCATATCTGTAAGCTTCCGTTGAAATTGGCCCCATAGTTGGTGAGGAGTTGTCTGGACAAGTATATTCAACTAAGGGCAATTACTCTGTAACAAAAGTCATCATACCTGAAAAAAATCGTTGAAATTGACCCCTTAGTTTTGAAAGACATGCCCGGACAAAGATTTTTCAACAAAGGGCAATAACTTTGTAAAAAAAAAGGGTCAGAATGAAAAAAAGACAATAACTGAATGCACAACTTCAGGTGGTAGTTATCATATCTGGAAGCATTCGTTGAAATTGGTCCATTACTTTAGAAGGAGTTGTCCGGACAAACTTTTTCTAAGGACGGACAGACGGGCACGCTGATACCAGTATACCCCCCACCCCACCTTCTCCCTACTAACTTCGTTGCAGGGGATATAATAAAGTGTACAAGAGTTTTACTATTAAGATCATTTTATTGTTTTTACATAATTGCATATCTTTGTCTATAACACAATCTCAACTTTAAATACCTCTCCAGAAGAGATTACTTCGGCAGAAAACATATTAATGATTTATTACTGCTGCACATAACTTTAAAAAATGCGTAATATAATAAAGTGTTTTGGTATGATACCAAAACAGAACATGTATCGGTATTGACCATAATAAACATAATCAAATCTCCATGATTATGTGAAATTTGGCATTGATCATGTTTGGCATGCTAAAAAGTACTTTACCGGTTTCGATATGACATACAAATGATTCCTTTGACAGAACATATATATGGACACTTTTTAAACAAGTCTATCGTAGTAACTTTATATAGGCAATTGACAATGTTGGTTATATTTTGAATTTTGTGAAACTTTTGCATGTTTTTCTAACTAAAAGTATCACTACGCTTAAACTTCATGTAGACCAATATGACATATTTAGTATCAAAATGACAGCCGTTTCATACACTGTACACTATCATTATTCATTTCAAAATAACATTTGCCTGTGACATTTATCTGTCATTTTGTTAGGATACCTCCGTCACTCAACCTGGTGTTATCCAAGGAGGTCCACTACGGTTATCAGTAGTAATTATGAATAATCATTTATGCAGTTATTTATCATTTTTATGTATCTATATATGGTAGAGGAATAAAAGAAATCTAAGTGGGGGCCAAATGTTTACAACATGACCAACAGCGAAGGCTTACTATGTACGAGGCTGTAAGATAAGCAGGACGATTTCGACTTTCCTATCGTGAACATTCCTTTTCTTGATAATAGATCCATACTTTACCTACCTACGGTGTTTACATGACGCAAATGATTCGGTATTCCAGAGATTGCTCTGAATATCATGACATCAATGAAAGATGTCGACTTCTGACGGACAAACTTACAACATAGGGTTTCCAACCATACAGATTGATGAAAAATTACGGACAGGCGATCGTTTTCAGGATCTCGCAAGGAAACATACTATTTCTCTGTGTGATATGAAGGTCGAGGCTTTTTTAAAATTCTGTTAGTTAACTGGATTCAACATTGTTAACATGGCTAATGACGTTGGTGAATCAGAAGCTTACCGTTCCGGAGCACCTTGACCTATTCTCCTGATATATTTAAGAGTCTCCATTTGTTAATATTTAGCCCTAGTCTTATCGACAGACATTTTCTAGTAAAATTTACCAAAGTACATGTATTACAAGTTTAAACAAGTTTCTCAAGTTAGAGACGCCGGTTAAATCGGACACTAAACAAAACCCGACACCCAGACACCCCGACAACCCGACATCCCGACACCCCGACACCCTGACATCCCGACAACCCGACACCCCGACACCCAGACATCCCGACACCACGACAACCCGACATCCCGACAACCCGTCATCCCGACATCCCGACATCCCGTCATCCCGACATCCCGACATCCCGACACCCCGACATCCCGACATCCCGAAAACACGACAACCGAACAACCCGTCATACCGACATCCCGACATCCCGACATCCCGACACCCCGACATTCCAACATCCCGACACCACGACAACCCGACATCCCGATATCCCGACACCCCGACACACCGACACCACGACACCCCGACATCCCGACACCCCGATTCCCCGACAACCCGACATCCCGACACCCCGACACCCCGACACCCCGACACCCCGTACACCCCGACATCCCGATATCCCGACACCCCGACATCCCAACACCCCGACATCCCGACATCCGGACACCCCGACAACCCGACATCCCGACACCCCGACACCCCGTACACCCGGACATCCCGATATCCCGACACCCCGACATCCCGACACCACGACAACCCGACATCCCGATATCCCGACACCCCGACAC